CAAAAGTAGTAGAGAAATAAAACATTTATATTATTAAATAAGCATTAGACCAGAATCTGATATGCATCACAGGCGGTCTGCTAAGAGATTGTATAAACAAATCTCACCCCCTCATATAGCCAAGCTAGTACAACCCATTACTTACATATTTACAAGATAAACAATAACTATGTCCTCAAGAGGACTTGTCGGCACCTTTTGTCACACATAGTTCTTCCTAACTTTACTGTGGTAGTTGGGATGACCATCTGTGTTAGCTAATTGGCCTTGTCTTACGGAGAAACAATCTTCTGTCTTTATGAATTGAGGTAGTTTTGCATCTAGGAGCAAGGTGCCATGGAAGTATTAATATCTCCGTTGATGTTTACATTTCAAAGAGAAGGCTGCAGGTCCTTGAGAAGCTGACAAAGCCCTATTTAGTTTTCAAAAGGATTTATTATATACATTTCAAAGAATGGGGAAAGTATTTCCAGTTATAATTTTTCTAAAGTAAGTGCTGTAAGGCAGTGGTCCCCAACCTTTTTGGCACCAGGGACCAGTTTCATGGAAGACAATTTTTCCATGGAGCATGCGGGGGGGATGGTTTTGAGATGATTTGTGTGCAGCCTAGCTCCCTCCTTCACGTGTGCAGTTTACAATATTAGGGTTTGCACTCCTATGATAATCTAGTGCCACTGCTGATCTCACAGGAGGCAGAGAGCTCAGGCAGTGATGTGGGTGATGGGGAGCAGCTGTAAATACAGATGAAGTTTCTGCTCTCTTGCCCACTGTTCACCTCCTGCTGTGCGGCCCAGTTCCTAACAGGCAGAAGGGGTACCAGTCCGCAGCCTGGGGTTTGGGGACCTCAGCTGTAAGGAAAAGGAGGGGAGGGAAATTTTTACCCTTACTTTCAACAGGGAGAACTAAACCTCTTATTTTTTTATTTATATTTGCCCTTATGCCCCCTTTGTTTGCTTCTGTATTAAATATAAGGGTCTGTATCTTGTTAATCTTATAATATTACTATGATAAACAAAAGTGATTTTAAATGCACTTTTAATTTAGTTTTATTTCATTTAAAACTAAATTGCAGTTTAGTCTTATTCAATGTTAACATTTTAAGTTATTAAATTCTACATAAAAATTGGAATTTCTTAAAAGGAGAGTGGTGGTATCAGGAATTCAGCATAAGATAATATGACTAAATCACCATATTATAGCTGGAACAGCCTTTGATGGTGGGCAGCTTAGAACTCTGAAGCCAAGAAATAAATGATACAAATATGACCTTAAGCAGAAAGTTGAACAAAGAATTTTCCTTCAAAAAAAGTATTTATTTTCTGAGGTCAGAGATGTTTTTGTTTGTTTTTGTTTTGCTTTTTTTTAAGGAAAAAAAAAAAAAACAACTTTGCCAGCAGTTAAAACTTTAAAATTTTCTGTACTACCCCTCAGCAAAATCAGAGGCAGATGCTGTTGGACTATCATTTTTATACTAGTAAATTACATAATTCTATTCAAGGAATTAGAGTCTAGCAAGAGTTACTTTACTTAGGTCCTGATTTGTTTTTAGTTTTTCCTCTTCCTCTCCCTTCCTTTCTTTATCCTGGCTCAGCTCAATTCATTTCCTTTCGGGGATCCTATGAGTAGGCTGCTGTATGTTTGAGACCCCAAACTGCAGATGAGTTCTCCTCTGTGTTACTGTGGTGGTGCTCCTTTGCCCGTACAACATCTGTGTGGTGCCGTCTTCTCATTTGCCAAGCTCCACTTCACATACCTGCTGGGCTCAATATTATCTCCCAGCCACTTCCTTCTTGCAGGAGACCTAGGGAGGGCTCCTCCTCAGTGTGCCACCTTTGCTTTATAGTCATGGGCCACCCATAACCATAGTGCACACACTGTCCCTCTACAGTCTCACTGTACAATGGCCAGCTTGTTGACAGTCCCTTTGCAGGCCACTTAGTCACCTTGACCAGCCAGGCCTTGTACCTCCAAGTGGTATACACTCTGATCTTTCCTGATTGATAGATGTTATGTATTGCTTATTTTTCTTGCAGTTGCTTTTGGTAGGATGGGAGCACCTCTTATCCCACTCTGGATTTAAGTGAAAAGTAGGAGCAGCCAAGCCTGGCTGACTACTGCTGGAAAAATGTACCCTTTCCCCCAGCCCGTGCCCTTCCACTCCCCTCTGTTGGTTGTTTTTTTTTGTTTGTTTTTTACAATGTTTCTTTCTGCCAGCCTCTCAAAAGTGACTGTGCTGACTGAGATTTTTAGAGAACAACCATTAACTCTTTCCTGTGTATTGTATGGAGAGAATGCCAGTATTTAAAATGTTGAAACCGTAACCACGTGGCATTTGTAATTTTCCTGCTATGAGTCTCACTGCATGGAAGTGAGAATTGAAAACTAATCATGTAAATTGCTAAGCTTTGAAAGATTTTTGCAGGATTTCTGCCTGGGAGATCTCTACTCCACAAAGAGTACTTTGTGACTAATAAAGTAGAAATTCAGTTAGTATGACTGCCATCTGTACTCTCTAATGATAAATAGATTTCAGAATTTTTTTGAACCGCAAGCCATTGACTAGATGCTCATTGCAAAGTAAGCTAATTGTCTCACATTACCAATTATTTTAAGAGCTATAGAGTGATTAGAACTTAATGTCAGGAAATCAGGAAAATTTGTTTCTTTTTGATTAAGATTTAAAAGTTCTCAACTATACATACGTAGTTCAACTGGAAACTGTCTTATTTTTTGCTATTTCTGATTTTCTTCCTTGTGTGGCTCACACACCTCACTAGGTTATATTGCTTGAGCCTTTCTCTGGGCTTTTGAATTTTTTCACTAACAAAATGGATCATGGGCGGCTATTCATCAAAGCTCAATTATGCCTGTGGAATGAGCACCCTTGTGTATGGATATTGGGATCTAGAATGTCCCATCATCACAGCAGGGCAGTTGCTGACTCAACTTCCAGTACTCTGAAAACCCAGAGCTGTCTCTTAAAGACAGTCGTGCTGGAAACTGTGTAGGTTGTATTACTTGGGTGGACTGCCCCTGGATCAGAGAAATGCGTGAGCCATAATGCCTGCAGTTGTGCTTTTCACAGAGCCAAGTATACTGTTGTTGATTAATAAATAATGGGTTGTTTATCTTGGAATTGTTTTTATTGGCAGATACCCTGAAAGATTCAAAGGCTGTCTGTAAATGAAGAATGCTCTTGTTGTTTATTCAGTGCCTTGCTTTTGTATTGTGAGGGTATTTGGGGAAAATTTCCTGAATATCATACCACAAGTAAAATTTAGGCAGTTTTATCCCCAGATTTTCAAATAGACCATTTCAGTACAACCTGTTTTCAGATGCCTCTGATGGTTTGGATGTGTGTGTGTCTGTCTGTGTGGCTGGAGGGCAAAAAGGGCAAAAGGCGAGATTCAGCCCAGAAGCTACAGTCTGGGCTGTAGTCATCCTCTAATTGTATCAGTCACAAATAGCTTACATAAATCCAAGGACATTTCTGGTTGGTTGACTGCATGTCTAGCACAAGCTAGCTGCTGAGAATTCAAATACAAACGTGCTGAGTGAGAGGCGGCAGCAGTCACATGCAGAGTGGTTCAGGAGAGGTTGACAAAGGAGATTAAGTTTGGTGTTTGGTAGAAGATTGCCAAGGTGGCAAGAGCAGAGCAAACTGCGTTTTGGCAGGGGAAACTGAGTTTGAAGATGTGTGAAATGATCAGCAGTGGGTGTTCTTGGACCTGTAAGTTGTTCAGTAATGCTGAGCATAAAGTGCTATAGGAATGGCCCTGGGAAAATGGGAATATGAGCTTCAGTATGGAAAATCCTGGGCCCTGTCTCTCAAACAGTAATAAATTCCTCGAGGACATCTGAAGCCAAAGGATAGTTTTGTCATAGCTTTCATAGCTTGTGTCCTGTGCTCAGATGTTCTCAATATCCAGCAATCAAGAGGAGCCTGACAAATCATTGATCTAATTTGGTATCAGGATAGCAGCTATTGTTAAGTGGGAAGGCTACTTAAGAGGTCCCTAATTTTATAAGTGGCCATTTCACTAGTAATGTTTTCATGTTGGGATAACATAATGGCAGGGACTCAAATCGTGAGGAGACCCTGTGTATGGAGAGAGTGAGGGAGAGTTTTGAGAATGGCTGCTGGCTTTATGACTTGCATGAAAAGGAAAATGAAAAAAACAACTTGGGAGGAAACATTTTTGTCCAGCACACTCATTGCATCCCCAGTGCTAGCAAATCATGTTGGCCATGTATTAGGTGTTTAATAATCGGGATTAAACACACATTGCATGACACATAGCTATTCAAACATCCGATATTTTAAAATTATTTTTCATGGCGCTTCTTTGCACCGCTGCTGTATTTAACAAGAACCAAAGGTTAAAATTAAGATAATTGGTCAAGCAGTTAAAACACCTTCCGATGGGAGGAGCAAAATCTCGAATAAAACTAATTTATAGTGAGTCAGTTTAAGTTGTAGAAGATGGAACTTTTTTAATGCTTTAGAGAATATACATAAAGAACAATGAAAGCATTTTTTCAGTTGAGTTTATTGAATTTATTATGAAGTAATAGGCAGATGGGACTTAGAAACTAATACAGCTCATTTTATTTATTTAATTTTTAAATCAATTTTGTATGTTTAAGGTATAAAACATGTTATAAGATACATACATCAATTTATAGTAAAATGGTTACAATAGTGAAAGAAATGAGCATATTCAGCCTCTCATAGTTGCCCATTTTTCCCCCTGTGGCAAGAACAGCTGTAATCTAATTTGGCAAAAGTCCCGAATACAATACAGTATTATTAATTGTAGTCCTTATGTTGTACATTTGATCTTTAGACTTGTTCATCCTAATATTTGCTGCTTTGTCTCTCAATATAAAATATGACTCAGAGAGAGAGAGTGTGGAGGGGGGGAAGTGTGTATATGTGTGTTGGAGGTTGTATATAATTAAGTGATAATGATGAAGTTAGAAATCTTTTATTTTTTTAGGTGCTGGTGAATCTGGGAAAAGTACAATTGTGAAGCAGATGAAGTAAGTAGATTTAAACATTAAATTTGTTTTCTATGTTTACCTTTCCATCGAAGGAAATTAAGGTTCTTTTTTTTCCTTTTGTCTTGTTTAGAATTATCCATGAAGCTGGTTATTCAGAAGAGGAGTGTAAACAGTACAAAGCAGTGGTCTATAGTAACACCATTCAGTCAATTATTGCCATCATTCGGGCCATGGGGAGGTTGAAGATAGACTTTGGTGACTCAGCTCGGGCGGTAAGTTATTAAGTTTGTTGGAACAGGCCTGATTGATGAGTAAACAGAATAACTTGCATGTTAATACCATGCTATATAAAATAGGTATGTCACCTAGCAGGATTGTTTTATAAAAGGAGTCAAAAGTATAAAAGTGAGTAAAGTGAGTTGAGTGCATTAGAAGTGTGAGTGAAGTAAGAATATATGGGATTGTATAATCTTTCCTTTATAGCTATGCTTTCTTTATCAGATGATCAACTGAATAATCACTGTTATACTTTCTTTACAACATGTTGTATTAGGTACACCTATATCCCCCTAACAATTTTTAGTAGATAGTACTGAGTAAACTGCTTATGCTGGCCCTCTTCAAAATCTGTTTCTATAATTTGGAATGCTGAAATGATCTAATTATTTGTATTCATGCCCAGACTAAAAAGCAATCTAATCTTGAAAAATTGAAAAATGAAAATCGTATAAAAGTTTGCTTATCTTTGGAATAGGAAAATATTGGCTATGAAAAAGTACGTACAGAATTTTAGAGCTAAAGGAGACCATTGGAAACAAGCTAGTTCCATTCCTTTATTTTGCCAAGAGAGAAACTGAAATATGTGATAGAAAGATTGCCATACAGCTAGTGGTGACCAAGGCACTGTGCTTGTGCTTCCTTATTTGGACCAATAAGTTGTTTCAGTTGATTTGAAACAGCCCTGAACCAATCCAGAGGATACCTTCTTTTTTTTCTTTTCCGACTCAGCTTCTGTTTGATTTCTTAATCTATTTCAAGTTCGTTATTTGTGTATAGCTCATGCTTTACTGTGAGTCTTTTTTTAATGACTTAGTATAAAACTTGACCAGAAACCTTTAGCCAAATCCCTAGCTTAATTTTTTAATATTTTTATACAAAGTAGATGTATTATTATGTTGTTATTACTATTTATTTTTATAGTTCCTTCATATTTTTATGCATTCAATATAGAGACTATAACTTTTTTTTTGTCTTAGTGTCAGCTAGATTTTTTACTTATACAAACCCAATTCATACTTAATATGAATGAAAACTGAATGAAAGAATCATTAGGGAATATGGTAGAAATAATATGGAGAAATCGGTAAAATAAGCCTTATTTTTAATAAGTTACTTTAAATTTTTCTTATAAGTTACTGGGCCATATTTATTTTCTAAGGTTTTTATTTTAAACGAAGATTTAAAAGCTTAGTGTGATTCATTAAAATTTTTCAAGTAGACTTCAAGATCATTTTTAATAATTTATGCATTTATCATTTATTCATTCAGCAAATGCTTTTGAGCTGAAAAAGCATTTGTTGAATGAATAAATGATATATGCCTAAATTACAGATTGGGTAGTAGATAAGGCAAAAAAATGTTCTGGATATGATCAAATCTTGTTTCACAAAAGACAATTTAGAATGTTATGAATAATTATTAAAAATGATCTTGAAATCTACTTGGAAACATTAATCACACTGAGCTTTTTAATCTTGGCTTAAAATAAATATACAGAAGGGAAACACTTAGATTAAGGAGAAAGAATTAATATAAATTGCACTTTATAGCAGTTCCAATTACGGTAATTTAAACCTTTTATCAAATTCTTATATATAGTATTCTGCATTCAGATTTTATATATGGTTATAAGAGAGAAAAGTTTGGTAGCCTCCTTTTTAGGAGATAATGAAGGGTCAATGCAAGCAGCTTTTATGAGTTCTTTTCCCTTTTCAAGTTTTTCTCTCAAGAAATACTGTTTTTTCCTCCTTTCTTAAAAATTTTTTTAAACCTAACTTGGGCTTAGTTTCAAAACTGGAAATAACTACTTTCTCACCACAAGCTTTTTTTTTTTTTTTTTTTAACCAGTTTTCTGATGCTTAGGAATCTATATGTGGTTCTGTTTTTGCTCATCTTTAGTCCCACTCTTTTTAGACTCTTTCTGGCTATTCCCCAGTAACTATTTTCTTCCTACCTTCAGACTATTACTTCTGTTTGCTTTAGCCATCATTAACTCATTCACACAAATATCTTCATGTTCTCACGTTGCTTCTGAGTGGGTCCACTCCATGTTCTGTGTTGCCTCCCATGTATATATGCTTTTAAAATACTACTCGGCTTTTGGAATTGTGCTAAGGAAGACCAAGATGAATTAATCATGGCCCGGACATGAGGAAGGGACATTTGAACCGAGTATTGAAATGTGAGTAAGAGTTTTCTAGACAAAAACAGGGAAAAAGCATTCTAAGAATGAATAAGAAACGATATATTCAAAGGCAGTCAGTATGCTTCTATTTCTGAAGTATCAGTCCCTGGAAGTATTAACTCTGAGTTGAAGGTTAACCAGATATTTAATTTTGATACGTACCACAGATTTACTTTCCAAAGAAAAGCAACGTGAATAATCTTTCCTAACAACTATTCATCAATGTCTGTTTTCCCAGAGTCTAGCCGACTCAGATATTAATATTATCAACATTTTAATATTAAACATCTGATGAATGAGAAATATTGTCTTTCTTTTTTCTTTATTTTTATATTGTTGGTTTTTAGTGAAGTTGAGAATCGTTTTAAAACATTTTGTCTATTTGTATAATATTTCTTCTGTGAACTCCTCTTAGTAATCTTTACTCGGTTCTATTTGGTTATCCTTTTCACATTGATTCGTTTTGGCTACTAGGGATATTAACCCTTCATTATATATTGCAGATATTTTGGGCCAGCATATTTCTTTTACTTTTTTGAAATACTGCTTTTCTTGTTGCAGTACTATTAAGATTTTCATAATCAATTTTGACTTCTCTGTGTTTTGTTTCTTGTTAGAAAGGCAATTCTTCACCTTGCAATTATTTTTAAAAATTCACTTATTGTTCTAGAGTGTTTATAGTTTATTTTTTATACTTATCTCTTCATGTACCTGTAAATGTTATTTCTATTTGTTGCTAGGTTAAATCTAAATAAATTCTATAATCTGATCATCTCTTGTAGTGCAGCCACTTATTAAATAATTAGTCCATTCCTCAGTGACTTGAAAATGCTACCCTTAGCATTAAATTGGGTGTGTTTCTGGACTCCATTTTTTTCATTGATGTATTAGTTTTTTTCCCACATTAGTCACTTATTAAATTACTTAACCTCTAAGCTTGTTTCATCATAATAAAATGGATATAATGATGACATCTATCTTTTAGGGTTGTGAGGAATAACAACATGATGAATATTAAGCACTACCACATGCCTTGGTCATAACAGATGCTCAGTAAATGTTGTTGCTGTAATTATTGTTGTTATATTTTATAATTATTGTGCTATGTTGTCAGAATCACATTATTTTAATTTCTATCTATCACTTCATAGAATTAATTGGTATTTGGTAGAGTAAGATAACCGCATCCCATCCTATCATCCTTTTACCAGATATCAAGAGTTATCATGCATTTCTCTTCCAGATGAACTTGAGAGTCAGTTTAATTCCCCCAATCCATAATTCCCCCCAAATTGAAACAAATCCTAATTACCCCTAGGATTTGTTTCAATCTTGTTGAAATAAAACAAACAACAAAAGCCTGTTGGTATTTTGATTGGGATTACATCTTATTATATAGGTTGATTTGGTGAGAACTGAGTAAAAAGATGTAAAATTTTAAGAAATGGTGACTGATTTTCTGTGGTTTGCTTTATATTTGACAGTTACCAGATTTGCAAGAGATTACACATTAGTTATTCAAAATGAGAGGAAACAAAATTGTTTTCAAGGCAGGCATTGAGCTATCAAATTTTATGCCTAATATCCTTTCAAGACTTTCTCAAAATGAGGGTTGTCTATCTGTGGATGATAATATATTGATAATTCCGATTATTATGTTTCTAATAATGTGAAGTTTGAGAACTATTACACAAGGGCCTATTAGCATGTTTCAGGCACTAGGTATGTCGGACAGTGGTGCTCAAAATGTGGTCCGTGGATCACAAGAATAAGCACAAAATCAGTATTAGAAATTAAGGGTAAATGTTTAGATGGTTTCTATCAACTGACAAGAGTAATTTATATGTTAACTCTGATAGTTTTAAAAATACAGATTTAT